TGCATGAAGAAAAACTATAACATGGAAATCAGAATCTGGGCAGTCTAGCCAGCAGCTGGCCCCAAGTTACTAGAAAGAGCGAGTGGCCCATGCAACCATTGTGCTTGGCAAGACTTCTATTGTCCTTGTTCAGTGTGTTGGTGGCCCATTGGATGTTGGCTGGGCCTTTCTCATTAGTGTTCCTTCCAAGTGGAGGGGGATGGTGGATGTAAGGAAGTTCGTTATCGCTCTTTCTGCTCCAGGAATGGAGACTTCCTTTGGAGCTATAGCACACCCCAGGGAAGTGTGGACACATTGTGCAGCTAATCTCAGACGCAACTGCATAGATGATAACAAAGCCGTGTGTCTTAGTTAGGGTTTCTGTTGCCATGGCAAAACACCATGACCAAAGCAACTTGGTGTAGCAAAGGGGTTATTTTCAGCTCAAAACTCTCAAGGTACAGTCCATCACTGAGGGAAATCAGGACAGGACCTCAAGACTGGAGCTGAGGCAGAAGCCATGAAGAAACACTACTTACTGGCTTGCTCCTGTGAGTCGCTCAGCCTGCTTTCTTATAGCACCCAGGACCACCTGCCAAGGATAGCACCACCCACAATGGGCTGGACCCTCCAACATCAATCAATTAAGAAAATACTCCACGTTTGCCTACAGGCCAATCTTATGGAAGTATTATCTCAAACGTGGTTCCCTCTTTTCAGATAACTCTAGCTTGTGTCAAGTTGAAAAAACAAAACAAAAACAAAACAGACAAAAAAAAAAAAAAAAAAAAAAAAAAAAAAAAGGCCACAGGGACACCCTGTGTGAGAAGAGTGGCCACGGATCACCACCATTGAAGTTATTTCAGTGTTGCTGTCCTCAAGCTGGTGTTGGCTGGAACACCCTCTTTGACCCAGATGCCTTAGTTATCTCCCTGTAGGGATGTGAGACTCATGTAAGAGTTTGTATGGTTGGTCCATTTTTTAGCTGCTTAGACACACTTCAGGACTGTGAGCCCAGTAGGCACTAAACACACATTTGTTGAGTCTATGAACAATAAGTGGTCAGGGAAGATGGTGGTTCGTTCTGGTAGGAACGGTTCAAAAGTTCTAGGACCCAACTTGGATGACATACACAGAGGCAAGCTACAGTTAGATGAATTTGACTTGCGGGCTTTTAGAGGTGACTTTTGAATGTTACTGTTTCTTGAGTTCTCAGAATCAGAGAGTCTGTCTGCTGTTTGCACCACTCACCTGTCTTACATTATAGCCGTTTCCTTAACTCTGCCCTGTGCCCAGGGAGACGGGCCCGTCTGAAGCCCATGGCTGGGGTCTCTTGTCTTCTGGCTTCCGGTTTGTCAGCGTATGGGGAGAACCCTCTGTCTGAATAAGGATGACCTCAGAGTCTTTCTGCCGGGCCTCTTGCCGACAAACCCGTTTTTGACAGGCTAGCCTCTGCTGCAGAGTTTGTGGCTCCCACACCCGCTTCCTTCTCCTCGGGAGCCCTCCACTCTCTATCACACTCTGTACTTTCCCTCCTCGCTTCTTCCCTCACCTTGGTTTCTACACTCTCCCCAACATTTGTAGATCATTTCCATATTAAACACTCCTTGATTCCTAATCTGAGGGTTTCCTCTAGTTCCTGCCTGGATTCAGACGTGCAGTCCAGGTTAGTGGTGTAAGACGGGCAGTCATTTTGTACCCCGGCAGACATTTGGCAACATCTGGAGACATGGTTGATTGTTACAAGTAGGGGTGGGTTAGGATGTGTGCTGTGGACATCATCTAGTGAACTACAGAAGCCAGCGTTGCTGCTGACTATCCCATGATGCACTGGGCATTCCCATGATGCACTGGGCATTCCCTACAGAGGACAGTTATCCAGCCCCAAATGTTAATAGTGCTGTGCCTGAGAAATCCTTCTTCAGATCTTCGTGCTCATGTCCCTAGACAACTGTAACATCAGCACAATTGTCAGCTGTGTGTAAACAGAGCAGTAAACCCACTGAAAGTCAAACTTGTAATGTTAATTGAAAAGTCAAAATGAAGTTATTTTGCTGAAATCAAATGGAGCCTCATGATGAGAATGTGGGGCTGACTGTTGTCGGGTAAATTGTTGCTTCGTTGGCTATAACTGGAGTCTATACCCTGGGATGTGACTCATTTCTCTCTGAATGTCTGTCTACACATGCTACAAGGAAGCCTTGTCCTAGGGTACTCTGCCGGGCTGTGTTGGCTTTTATTTGGCTCCCATATAATATTCATCTGAAGATGGCCATTATTATCGGTTCTCATTAACCTGTGTCAATTGAAGTTATGCTAATTGGTGCCAATATGTTCATAAAGGCAGCCACAAAGGAGGGCCCTATGGCATTTCCCAGGCTCCAGTCTCATTGGAGATGTTGCTAAAGACTTCAATAAATTAAGAGAGGATATTAAAATTAAATGTTTATGTGAACTCCTGAGCCCCAGGTCTATCCTGGGAGCCCTGTGAGAGGAACGTTGCTGGTGTTCGGTGGAAAATAGAAATGATCCTTGCTTCCTTCCCAGGTTTGATGGAGCGAAGCACAGAGTGACTGCTGTGGGGCACAATGCTTTGATGGATAAATGGAGATCTTTTTATTTTTAAAAATGCATCCTTATAAGGAATGTCTTCTGTTTTGCTTTTTTGAGATAGGGTGTCTCTATCTCTATGTATCCCTAGCTGGCCTAGAACTTGATATGTAGACCAGGCTGGCCTCGAACTCACAGAGATCCATCTTCCTCTGCCTCTTGAGTGCTGGAGTTAAAGGTGTGCATCATCACACTCAAGAAAGTCATTCGATTTATTTATCCCCAGGTAGAATGGAGTGGGTATTCCACCCATATCTCAGTCAACATGTTTTGTTTTCTTGGCTATGGCTCTGTAAACAGCCTCCAGACAGCAACGTGGGGTTTCTTTCTCTTTGTGAAAGACATTTGTTGGGCTTCTGCCTTCTCCCCTTGGCTGGAGAGTGTGTGAGCTTCTGGAGGCTTGGGATTTTTTCACTGCTTTGCAAAGGGCTGTCTTTAAATGCCCCCTCCATCTCACAACACACCCAATTGATTGCACCAACAACAGAATCTTATGTTGCTCTTTATTTCATTCTTGTATTAGCACCTTTTGCAAATCTAAAACAATTATGAAACCATTTAGAAACAATAATGCTGAAATGCAAATACTTCAATGTTATTAAACTGTTAGCATCTTGGTGAATTATTTCCTACGGTTAATTACTTCATTTCTTTATAGCCAGTCACGATGGACTGCCACTTAGGGTTGCTTCCTGTTCTGCCAGAAAATATAGTTACATGTTTGAAATCTCTGTGGACACTCACCACGACCATCTACATTGTCTCAAAGCATTTTTGGTTTTGGTGTCCATGTTGGTGGGGAGCACTTCAATTTAATTTGGATTTTATTTTTAAATAAATATTTGGCCATGATGATTTTGATGAAAAGCTCTCCACTGGCTTAATGAAGGATTTTTATGGATCTATATAACACCCGTGTCTTAATTACTACAAATGGATAATAAACCCTTTCATATACGAGAATGGGAAACATAGTGAGCACCATTAGGAACAATTGGATTTTCACTTGATAATTCAGTAAAAAAAAAAAAAAATGTAAATACTGCAAATAACAGCCCAAGGGGGTGTCTCTATAGCTCCAGGAGAAATCGTGGAGTAGAACTAATTTTTACAGAGATGTAGCTCCATGTTTTTCGAGCTGTGACAAAAGCAAAATATAAATTCATGCAGTGAACGAAATAGTCATCCAATTGGTAGGTGCTAATTAATTTCTCTCTGTGTGCTGGAGACATTTAATCCCTCATCACCAAAAGCCCTTGAATTCAGGATATGCCCAGAGAGGAATATCTGATGCTAGGCAGCTATCTACAGTGTATGAGTGGGAATGCAGAGGGCTATTTATTTATTTATGAGACCGGGTCTCACTATGTAGCTCTGGCTGTCCTGGAACTCTATGTAGACCAGGCTGGCCTCAGCGATCTGCTTGATTCTGCCTCCCGAGGGATGGGATTGAAGGACTGTGATGCCTGGAGTTTGCATTTAGTATCCTATACTTTTAGCATCATTTTAAAGTGCACTTCTGCTTTCCAAAAGTTGGCTGTCAAAAGACACACTGTGCAACTCCAGCGATGGCCAAGTCATCTCACAATTAACAGTGTCTCTTACCTGCACCGAAAAGCTACATTCTATAACTGCCATGTACCATCTAAGCTTGTGTTCCTGCACTCTGTGACATTTGGTCCATGACAGATGTCCATGCTGTTAACACCCACAACTGTATTTTACTTTTAGCAATTTCTTATGCGGAGGGTTTTGAACTAGCATGTATCCAAGACCCTCTTGTAAGACAAGGTAAAATGTAACCGTGCCTGGAGGCTCCACTCCAAAATCTAGATCCCCCAGGTTTGGGTGGAGTTCTCACTTCTTGTGCTGATAAGTACTACATGCCCACACCACGCTGCCAAGACATTGGTTTCTTCTAGCAGGTCAAACATTCAATCCTCCTGAAATTGTTCTTCTTCTGTCCTTCTGGTTTGCAGTTGCATGAGAGTATTTAAATTTGGAATGGGAATGTGGGCTCAGTGGTGGAGTGCTTGACTAGTGTATGCAAAGCCCTGGGTTCAATCCCTGGATAGGAAAAAAAAACTTAGCTCATAATTATGTGGGCCACAATTTCAGTATGCGTTCCCCTTTTTGTTTTCTAAAGGGTTCAGGGTCTTTTTCTGTGTGTGTTTATGTTTGTATGTATGTGCAGGCATATGTGCACGTGTGTGTCCTGGCATGTAGGAGGCCAACAGTCAATGCCAGATGTCTTTCTCTGTCATTCTCTACCTTACTTTTGATGGAGTGTCTCACTGAAGGAGCGCCCCGACTCAGTGAGACTGGCTGTTGAGAAAATCCCAGGGATCTGATGCCTCCACCTCATCAGTGCTGGGGTTACAGCCCCGCCACTGCTTCTGGATTTTTGTGTGAGTTCCTGGGACTGGAATCCTGGTCTTTATGTCATTTCCCCAGCTCTGTGTAGGGGGGAGATATACAGACCTGGTCCTCTGAGAAACTGAATGGTAACTCTTTGCAAAATGAGATTCATACCTTGACTTGAGTATGAATTAGAACAAAGGACTAAAACTCTAGAACCAAAGTGTGAATAAAAATGCCCCCTCCCCACCAGCACCAATAGTATTACTGGCTTCTTAAAATAAGGTGTTTGATCTGGACTTGGCGGTGCATACTTGCAGTTCAGCACATGGAAGGCAAAAGTGGGAGGTCATCACAAGTATAAGGCCTGTCTGGTCTACACAGTGAGTTCTAGGCTAGTTAGGGCTATACACATACACACCACAACTACCATATCTACTGCCATGGCCTCTACCACTACTTCCACCACCACCACCACCACCACCACTTCCATCATCATCACTATCACTTCCACCATGACAACCACCACCACCACCACCACCACCACCTCCATCATCATCACTATCACTTCCACCATGACCACCACCACCACCTCCACCACCACCCAATCTTGGGTCTGTTTTCCCATTGGACTTGGCTGAAGCTCTGTGGTTGAGCTGGGGTTTACCTCCCTGACACGAAGCATGGCCTCTGCTCTGGACCTTTCTCCCCGTTTCTGCCAGCTCCCATCAAACATACCTGGTGTCCTACAATGACAAATTTATTTTTGAATGAGCTGGAATCAGAGTCAGAGAAGCTGTTTCTACTTCAATTTCAGAACCTGTGAGATGTTTCCATTCCCCAACCCCCCCTGAAAAACTGTTTGGTTCTTCTCTAACCCAAGAGGACTGCCCGAGTTCACACATGATTCTTTTGTTTTACTTGCCTAGTCCAAACCTGGATTTTGGGGAAGGCCACAGCCACACACGGTCAGCCTCTCTTCTGACCGCCTCTCTTTCACTTAGCCTTTCCTGTAAACCTGTATTATAATCCTTAATAAAACCTCTGCTTCATGAAAATCAGATTCAAGTGTTGATTCAAAAAGTAAGGCAATTCCAATTCTTAAAAAATTAACAAGGTGTCAAGGAGAAAAGATCCTTCAAATGTGTCAAGGAGATATAACTTGATTCTACTCTGCGTTAATATTTCAATGAGGCTGATTTCACCTCCCAAATGAGATTAAAAATTATATACTTATATTACTTTATGTGTATCAATGTTGTGCCTCAATGTATGTCTGTGTACCACATGCACACTTGGTGCCTTCAAAAGCTAAAAGAGTGTGTCAGATGCCCTGGAACTGGAGTTATAGATGGTTGTGAGCTGGGAACTGAACCCAGGTCCTCTGCAAGAGCAGCCAGTGCTCTTAACTGAGCTATCACTCCAGCCTCCCAGCCCCATCAGATTAAGTTCAAAGTGTTTAGATCTTGCTCTTTGAAAGCTGTTGACAACATCTGATCTGCATCGCTTCATCTTGTCTCAATTATTTGTTTGTTTGTTATTTAACCATGCTGCCTAAGAGAAAAGCGGACTGGGCTTATTATCCACTCCGCCTTTGGTCCCTTTCTGACCCAGCTAGGTCTTCTCTTTCTCTTGAAAGTTCTATGACATCTAATTTCGGACAAGTGAAAGAGATTTCTCTTCCCCATCCTTCTCTTCAATCACCTCTTCTACCTTTCCTTTTCTCCTTCCTTCCCTGGTTCCCCACCCCTCCCCCTTCCCTCTGCTGGCCTGTGTAGGTGGAAACACTGACCTTCCCGAGGGGATCGTCTGGATCAATACCCACTGACACACCACAGAAAGATTTTTCTCTCTGTTGTTACCGCAGTAATTTGATATTCGCCATGCCAATAGCCAACATGTCTTCTTTTAGTTAAATGGCATTTATTTGACACTTCTTGTCACATGAATAATCTTTACCTGGTGCAGTCTATTTATCTTCTTTGGGGGCAGTTTTTGATCACCTAACAACCGTGGTGTAAGCCCATTTGTTATTGAACACTTACAGTGCCTGGGGCTTAGGGTGAGATATGTTTCCACAACCGACCTTAAGAGGTCAAAGGAGGAATCGTGGTTTGACAGCGTGACCCCTGGATGCAGGGAGCTGATGGGTTTCTCTCACTGTGGCAGAGCTGGGATTCCAACTCTGGCCTCCCAGATGCCAGTTGGTGAGGTGACAAGCTGTCTCCCACCTCCAACAACTGAAGGAACTCACAAACGGGTGTTAAGATGTCATGACCTCACCGAACAGAGTCTGTCCTCCTGCCAGGAGCTTCTGTCCAATATAAATCATCCCACGAGACCCAGCTTCTGCTAGACTTGTCCCCCAATGTCCTCCTTCCCCAGTCTCCCCCAGTCAGGGTACCTCACATTTTCAGCTCAGGCCTGGGGTTCTGTCTGTATCTGTTCGTTGGGGCCCAAGGCTCTAATTTGGCATCTTGCTCAAAGTCCTTGGAGGACTCAGACAGGGAAGGACTTCATGTTGCAACTCCGGGAAGCCTGATGAGGAGGTGTCTTCCTGCAGAATTAGTCAGGACACAGACGGGACACCGGGACACTGTAAGGAATAGAAACATGTTGGCTGGGGAGGGGCTGGTGTGGAAAGGTGGCGGAGGCCTGAATCCTCTCTGTTGCTCCCAGTGATCTGGCAGGGAATCTGGAAGGTTCACCAGAGGGCAGAAAGGACCGCCACTGGGGACCCAGTACAAATATGACTAATTGACCCTCCCCCTCCCCCAGGCTTGTCAGGCCTGAGATCTGCTCTTACTCCCATTTAGGAATTTCTTGTTTTAAAAGAGCATTTTTAATGTATTCTTTGGAAACATCATACCTTTTATATAATGTATTTTGATCATGTCTACCCACCATTACCTCCCACCAGTTCCCACTAGTGCCCCCACCCTGTAGGAGAGAGCTTCTTAAAGGGGGGAAAAAAAAACTTCAAAAATCCTAACTCTTCCCCAGGTCACTTGGAGGCTGAGGATGGAAGGGAATAAAGAGAAGGTTTTTTTTTTCTTGCGGCCACTTCCTGTGGGGACCACTTGCCACATCCAACACCCCCCTCCCTGTACAACAAGGTTATTTCAGCCGACAGCTATGAAATAAAATGAATAATACTTGTGGGCAGTGAATGCCTGCAGACAGTCCAAATGTACTTTTATTGGCTTCATATATAAACACACTATTAAAAATAAAAATAAATATTACTAGAAAAAAGAAATCATGCTTTAAATTGTGTTTTCTTACGTGTACACATACATGGGTGTGTGTGCATGTGTGTGTGCACGTATACAAGTGTGTGCTATATAGATTTGTATGCAAGTGTGGGTATGTATGTTCACATATGTGTGTGCCTATGTGTATATGTGTGCATGCTTGTGTGTTCAGGTGCCTGTGCATGTGCTGGTGCACAGCAAATATGTGTGTGTGTGCATGTGGAGGCCAGAAGAGGACTTTGGCTCTTGTTTCTCAGGTGCCTTCCACTTTGGTTTTGGTTTGTTTGTTTGTTTGTTTGTTTGTTTTGAGACAGGGTTTCTCTGTGTAGCTCTGGCCATCCTGGAATGCTCTCTGTAGAATAGACCGGCCTTGAACTCAGAGATCTTCCTGTCTCTGGCTCCCTAGCGCTGGAATGAAGGTGTGTGCCCCCACTTCTTGGCTCCCTTTGGTTTTTGAGACTCACTAAGCCGGCTGGGTTGGCTGGCCAGCGAGTCCGCAGGATCTGTGTGTCTCCGCCTCCCTAGGGCTCGGATTGCAAACACATGCACTGCGCCTGGCTGTTTTTTTTTTTTTTTCCTTTTAAAGATGTGTTCTGGGAATCAAGCTCAGGCCTTCATGCTTGCATGGTAAGCACTCTTCAGATGGAGCTATCATCTGACCTCCTGTGCTTTTTATAAAAGAGAGGGAGAGAATCTTTACAAGAATATTTTTGTGTGATAAAAAGAAATCTTTTGCCAGGCAGTGGTGGCACAAGCCTTTAATCCCAGCACTTGGGGGGCAGAGGCAGGCAGATCTCTGTGAGTTCAAGGCCAGCCTGGCCTACAGAGCGAGATCCAGGACAGGCACCAAAACTACACAGAGAAACCGTGCCTCAAAACAGAACAAAAAACAAAAAACAAACAAACAAAAACCCAAAAAACAAAACCAACCCCCCGCCCCCCGAAAAAAAGCAATCTTTGTTTTCAAGACTTCGGTAGACTTGTCAATTACTCCAAATTTATTTTTACATAATCAGGCTTAGTAGATGGCACAGCCAGTCCTAACAAGAACCTTGTGTTTTTTCCTTTTGAGACAGCATCTTTTTATATAGTCAGGGCTGACCTCAGGCAGCATCATGACCCTGCTGTCTCAATCTACCAAGTGGCTGGAGCTACAGGAAGGTGGCACCGGACTTGGTCAAAGAATACTTCTTGTTAACTGTAATTTCAAAACATTTATTTCGCACAAGTGAAGAGATATACAAATGGATGGAAAACATCGTAAGCAATAAGCTTAATGTGACCGTAACTCATGAAAATCTTCTTTCAGCACACATTCCAATACCTCCTACGTCTTTGTTTATTTGAGATGGATTTTAGTGGCTTTCAGGTTTCAGTCTTTGCAATCGAAAAAAATTAAACACAAACACTCCAGTGGTCACACTGAGTGACACAACTGAATTAACTTGAATTTGGTTTCCTGGTCTTTCCGGCTGCTGTGCTGTCCGTATTTATTTTGAAGCTCCTGTTTAAACACAGAAATACGCTTTACTATGGGATAGAAGATAAGAGCTGTGACCAGAGCAGCAGAGGCCCTGTGTGTGCTGAGATGAATGTAATGAATTCTCAGAATCTATTGCCACATAGAATGTAGCGTTTATTAAAGGATAAATAGAGAAGCCGTGCTAGTTAAAGTTACATCCTACTGAAACCGAGAAGAGCAATTGCTCAGAACTTAGATCAGCGGCAGTTTTTTGTTTTGGTTTGTTCTTATTGCTTGTTTGTTTTCTTCAGTATTTTATCATTGATATCCTTTAGAATTTCTAGTACATGGGCCAGAGGGCTGGCTCAGTGGTAAAGGCGCTTGCTGCCTAGGTCTGCTGGACTTAGTTTCTCCTCTGACTCAAG